GTCGCTACCGGAATATCCGGCCCCCTCCTCCTCTGGACGATGGTGAATCCCACCACTGCCTTGCTTGGCGCGTCGAACATCGCGCTCTATGCCGGCCTCTACACGTGGATGAAGAGAAAAACCATCTACAACACCTGGGTCGGCTCCGTTGTCGGAGCACTTCCCCCACTCATGGGTTGGACTGCCTGTGGTGGACAGTTATTCCTATCGCCATCGTACCCCATACACCTCTTCCTCCCTCCGTTCCTATCCGCCGGTCCTGTCGACCTCGCCCTCATTGACAACGCCCTAGCGCCTCTCGCATTTTTCATGCTGCTATTCAGTTGGCAATTCCCCCATTTTAATGGGTTGTCCCACCTCGTGCGAGGGTCGTACGCGCAAGCGGGCTATAGGATGCTGGCTGTCTTATCACCTCGAAAAAATGCCGTCGTTGCTCTGCGACATGCCCTTTTACTCGTCCCCATCTGCTCCGTCCTTATCCCACTTTCCGGCCTTACGACATGGACCTTTGCTCTGACTTCGTTGGTCCCGAATGCCATATGCGCCCACGCAGCATGGCAGTTTTGGCGCGTCGGTGGGGAGAAAGAGGCCCGCCTCATGTTCCGACATAGTCTTTGGTACTTGCCGGTTGTAATGGCGCTCATGATGTTGCACAAGCAAGGTGTAGACTGGGCAAAATGGTTGGGTATACGCGACGAAGACGACACAAAATCCGAGGTTGAAGCCACGGCGTGTATGTTATGTTGCTTGTGATCGTTCCTTCAACTGAACAACCCCCAAGAAAAATTTCCCGAGTACAACACAACGCGCCTCGGTATGGTGCCATTCGGCGGAGTTCTCGCAGGGCCGGACAGCAGTTACAGGCGATATCATCTACAAATGTTCATCACCATAGCCTTGATGAATCCCCCTTCCAGTGTGGGTCTGGTCCTATCTAGTCAATGGCCGAAGGCCGTGGAAGCTTAAAGTCAGGATCTTCGCGGCGCTCGCCTGCAAGAATAGTAGGACGGTCTATAAATATGTCGGCCACCTCGGTGTTGAACGACGCTGATGGATCGCCTGGATTCAAGCGAGATCAAGCTTGAACATCTTGACCGGGGCTGAGGTATGGTCGACCCAGAAATTTCGCTATTCGGATGAACTACCGAGGACGATCCTCTTGGCGCTCGTGTAAGCTCTCTGTTCTGCATTCCCCATTTGCGAGCTGCGCCCGACGGTTCCTAGACCTTGATTGTTCGTGTCATAGGCAGTTGCATGCTGCGACATTTGGGGGAGTGTTCAGCAGTGTTCAACGCAACGCTACGCAACCATACTGCCGGCGGCCTTGAAAAGATTCTCAGCGCTACTTGGAATGATGCGGCCCGCACAGTCGCAGTGCGGGGGTTAATCAGGTCCCCCGATGAGTCGGCAGCGATTACACAGTTTCTGTTTCCAAGCCTGTTGTTCGTGTCAGGACGTCGTTTTGAATCCAAGAGGTGATCCTAACGGAAGGCATTGCGATTGGAATGGTATGGTCATCTACCTAGTTTTGGCTCAAGGTGATACTGAAGACTGCCTGCCGACGAGAGGAGAGAATTAGGCGGTGGAATCAAGACAAGAAGGATCAACTGTCTCAACCTTTTTTGTTTTCGTTGATTGCCGATACTTCGTTCAAACCGCATCGCAGCTCACAGATCATCACTGCTCGGTCGTGATGCTCCAATAGCAGCCTTGTTATTGGACTATTAACCGCAATAGGAGCTTCCCCGCATTACCTGAATTTCTCCCGATTTGGCCTCTGCAATTCGTGTTGCAGAATTCTACGCAAAGAAAAAAAACGGGAAGTCTCTTCCACACCTACCACGGAAAGTATCTTCGGAGTATTTCGGGCAGGATAAGATAAGCAGAGTCAGAAGCAGCGGCTCGACAGGTTTGCCGACGGAAGTTTCGGGCCTCAACTTGACCACTGTGGGAGAAGATAAGGCCAGACAGAGTCGTCGGTGGCGAAATCTCTCTCTTTCAAGGCTCGCAAGTGGTCTGTGGCCGACGCTGGCCGCTCAAATTGAAACTAAGTCACCCAAACGTTCACAAATTTAAAGGACATTTTATTCTTCAATTTATTGTTGTTTCAGCATTTATTGCCGTTTCAGCGCGAGTACACGCATCAGTCATCTGGAGTCCAAACGGAGATCGAGTACTCGTAGTTCATCGGCATTCCAAACGGGTGTTGAAACTCGAAACGGAAGCATTCGCCATGCGAGTGCCATGGGCAATCACTGTTTCTCTCCATTCGGTTGCCCTTGTCAGCTCTCCTGTCCCGAGTCCCTAACCGGGCGATAGTAACCTAAGCACCTTAAAAGCGGGCCTTTATGTTTGCATTTCCCCATCCCATATTTCTGGGCCTTTCTTTCTTTTCTTTCCGCCATGAAGCTCTCCATTAATCTCGTTTCTACTGTCGTCCTCTTTTCCGGCCTCGCCTCAGCAGCTAATTCCAGACGAGCTCCGACGCCAAGACGGGCTTCTTCTCTTCTCATAAGTGATTATTTTACGTTGTTCTCGACACTACATACCCATATTCATTCATTCAGATCCCGATGCTTTCCCGGATTTGCCGACCGTTCAAGCGGCCACTGCCGCTGCAGACGCTGCCGGTTTGAATTTGGACGACATCCAGGGTGACGTGCTGTGAGGATCCGATTCTCTTCGGCAGCTTGGCTATATATTAAGTTGTCGCCCAGAATCGGAATGAAGAAGAATCAAGAGCTGTTCTACTTCTTCAGCATCGCAGATGCAGTGGACTTTAAGCCCAAATTGGCGTCCGACATCGTTCCTCTCATTACCACCACCACCCAACTGCTCGACGTTTCGACCGAACCGACCACGCTCGTGAACATCGCCTTCTCCCAGTCGGGTCTCACCACCCTCAATGTAACCGACGCCCTCGGTGATTCCGCCTTCACTGGCGGTCAATTCAAGGATCTCAAAACCCTGGGTGACCCGGGTTCCACGAACTGGGTCCCCGAGTTCGCCGGCACGGGTATTCATGGTGTCCTCTTGTTTGCGTCCGACACCGTCGACAACATCAACACTGCAGTCGCCGGCCTTGAGGCGGCCCTGGGGGATAGCATCACCAAAGTCTACTCTCTCCAGGCCGCGGCTCGCCCCGGTTCCGAGGCAGGCCACGAACGTGAGTACCTAGCTTGGTTGAACTTCAAGTTGAACTCTGATCATTACTCATGTTCTACCTAGACTTCGGCTTCCTGGACGGCATCTCGAACCCCGCTATCACTGGCTTCACGGCCAATCCCATGCCGGGCCAGTCTGTCCTTAACGCCGGCGCGATCCTCGTCGGGGAGACCGGCGACACCGTCACCACCCGCCCGGCCTGGGCCAAAGACGGCTCGTTCCTCGTGTTCCGCCAGCTCGAGCAGCTCGTTCCCGAGTTCAACAAATTCCTGACCGACAACCCCATCGTCGAGGACGGACTCACCGCCCAACAGGGCTCTGATCTCCTCGGCGCGCGCATGGTTGGCCGCTGGAAGAGCGTACGTTCAATCTCTCATCTCTATTATCATACACATCGCTCACTGCGCGCTCAAACAGGGTGCCCCTATCGACCTTGCCCCGCTCTTCGATGACCCCGCACTCGGCGCTGACCCCACCCGCAACAACAACTTCACTTTCGCACACGCGGACTCTGTCCTCGCCACCAACCAGACGAGGTGTGTTCAACGCATAATTATCTGTGCAGCACTAATACCTGCAACGAACCCAGATGCCCCTTCTCTGCGCACATCCGCAAGACGCGCCCCCGTGCCGATTTGGGCACGCCCGAAGAGACCGTGCATCACATCATGCGCGCCGGTATTCCTTATGGTCCTGAAGGTCTGCTGCAGTCTTGTTTCCGTTTGATCACGACTAAATTGTGAACTGCAGTTTCCGATGCCGAGGCCGCCTCGAGCACCACTTCGACCGAACGTGGCCTTGCCTTTGGTTCGTCCATCCTAATATTATTTTCATATATTTTTCAACTAATATGTTACAATGCAGTCGCCTACCAGTCCAACATCGCCAACGGCTTCCGCTTCCTGCAGCAAACCTGGGCCAACAGCGCCAAGTTCGTTTATTCTTTCTGAACTGTCTTTCAACAAACTCACAACCCCATCCCATCCACAGCTTCGTGCACGCTGGTGTCGGTGTCGACCCCGTCATCGGTGCCCTTGCCGGTGCCCAGCGCGTCGTCACCGGCCTCGACCCGACCGACTCCACCAAGGCCACCACCCTCACCACAGGCACGTCTTTCTTTCTCCAAACTCTTGCCAAGTACCATCAATGCTGACTGCACATTCCACTCCGTACAGACTTCGTCGTCTCCCGCGGCGGCGAGTACTTCTTCTCGCCTTCCCTATCCGCGCTCGCCAGCACGCTCTCCGTCTAAGTCCAATCTAATCGCAACCGCCGCTCCCCAACCCACCGCAACACACACACATAATTTCCCCTCACGTCTCTCCGGAGACCGAGACCACCCTCTTTCCTGTCAATAGACTCTAGTATATTTATTTATTCGGTGTAATGTTTGGGTATTATTGGGAACTCTAGAACTGGGTACAACAGAAATCGATCATCTAAATAACTTCAAGTTGAACCTTGACGGAAACGTCTTTCAGCATGCGTGAAGTCAATGAACTGGCATGTCAATGTCTGTATTCTGCCTTGGAACAATTAAACAAAAAGCGACGCGCGGTTGTGTTAAGTTTTGAACGGAGTCACGAGGCCGCGTTCAGTGATGGGGAATACAGCACCAAAGACCACAACGCCCACATCCCAATATGGGAACTTCTCCCAAGGGCCTCTGAGCGAGTGGGATCCAGCATAGACATGAGCAGCGAAAGAGTGCTTGTTATACTGAGTTCTTATCATTGAACGAAGCATCAAATCCATTATGTTAGCGCGTGTACGGGACATGGTTTTGCCGAACAAAAAAGACAACTCGGTGAAACAAAATGGATGCCAACAATCCATGGCCATCGTGGGGGTCGAACCCAAGACCTTCGCGTACCCGAGGGGATCCCCTCAATATTAGCACGACGCTCTAACCAACTGAGCTAGACGGCCGTTAGAAGACTTTTCTCCCATGAGTAATCATCTGGAAACACATCTGACCTTCAAACTGGAAACTATTTGACGGTCGGTGGAAAGCAGGCAGACTCACCGCTACCAGGGCAGCAAGGCCGCTGCATTGCACACTCGTGATGAACTCGGCCATTTCTCTCCCCAAGTCATCGAAACCATGCTCGCCTCAAACTGCTTGAGATCATCGAATCGGATCGATTGAACAACACATTTGAACTAATACAACAATGAGTATACCAAGTAAAGTAATCTAAGCGCTACAGTGTGAGATGAGGTGAGATAAGTAAGTCAGGTCCGTCGTGATGAATTCGTATGCAGATCCATTTAGTAGTCAGAGAACGGGAAAGGGTTCCCGGCCGCGGGGGAGGCAGCGGCGGGGGCGGGGAGGAGGGTGATCACGGGCGACGCAGCTGCGGCGGCGTTGTCGTTGCCCGCCGAGGGGACGGGTGCAGCGGAAGCGGAGGGCGCCGGCGCGAAGGACAGCTGGATGATCGACGCCGAGGCCGAAGCCTTCGAGGCGCTCGCGCTCGCGGCCCCGCCGTTGTTCGCCTTCGAAGGTGCGGGTGTCGCGGAAGCGGAAGGCGCGAACGACAGCTGGATGATCGAGCGGGTGCCGCTGGCACTTGCGCTCGCGGCGCCATCGTCGTCGTTATCGCCCGGAGCAGCAGCGGGGGCGGAGGTCGTAGCTGGCGCGCCGACGGTGGTGACAAGCGTCGCGCCCCCCGCGGTGAGGCTCGAGACGATGGACGAGGCCTGTTCCGGGCTGACGACGGTCGTCTGCGGCTCGAAGGTGATCGTGCCCGAGAACGGGAACGATCCCAATCCCGATCCCGATCCCGAGGCCTGAGCCGCGGATGCGGATGCGGAGGCAGACGCAGGGGCGGTGACGAAGACGGTGGTGGTGGTCTCGGCGGGCGCGGTGGCGCCGGGTGGGAGGGTGACGGTGACGGTGGCTTCCCCGCCCGCGGAAACGGTCGTGGTGCCGCTGGCTTTGCCGGTGGCAGCGGTGGAGGTCGCAGCGGCAGAGGAGCTCTCTCCGCCCTCGCTCTCGCAGGTGTCGTCGCCGTCGTCAGAGCCCTTGTCGTCGCCGTCCTTGTCGTCCCCATCGGAATCGCACGTGTCGTCGCCCGAGTCGTTATCGTCGTCGTCCCCGCTGCCCGTGTCGGGTTCGCAGGTCTCCTCGGTGGAGTCGGCCGCGGCGTTGGCGGCGGCGATATCGTTCGAGGCGCCGGTGGAGTGGATCGTAGTCAGCGCGTTGCGCTCGCTCGTGCAGGTGACGTCCTGCGGGTAGAATGAGTCGCCGTCCCGACAAGTGAAGGCAAACGTCAACGTACCACACCGCTCGGTTTGCTAAACGAGGGAATAGCGAAGCACGAGAGGCCATTCAAGCAGCCTGTGGTCTGCCACTTGCTGTTGGCGCAGGTGGCGAGGTCGCCCTTGATGCATGCAACGTCCCCAGCTAGATACCATTAGCATAGTGAGCGCAAAGCAGAAGGGGCGACTCACTCGTGCACGCATCGGTGGCGGTGAGGTTTTGGAATTGAAAGTTCATGTTTTGTGCGGTTTGGCCGGTTTTCAGAAGGGCGGCAGCATCGGAAGTGGCTCTAGGGACCGGGGCGGCCGAGACCAGGGCAGAAGAGGCAGCAAGCAACAAATAAAAGGACGTGAGACCGAACATTGCGGTGGTTGATTCGTTGAAATGAAAGATAGTAAAAGTGCGTAAGGAGCTCCGGGCTCAGACGTGGCCAGGCAAAGACAGACAAGAGTCGTGAAGGGGATTTGAGTTGCATCCTTGGGAAATTGCGACCAGTTTTATAGCGCCCAGAACAATAGACCCAGATTCGGTTCAACTTCATTGTTACCAAAGAGGAAGGCGAGAACAATGGCAGTTTACGTATACAGTTACCGAGTACAAACAAAGCCCAAACAGTCCTCCTTCCCACCACCAAAAATGGTCAGTGTCGTGCTCGCGGTTTGAGCCCTGGAAACCTTGTATTGTTGTCGCATACTCATCTCGTTGTCCACAGACTAAGAAAAGAAGAAATGGCGGCCGCAACAAGAAGGGACGTGGCCATGTCACCTTCATGCGCTGCTCCAACTGCTCTCGCTGCGTCGGGAAGGACAAGGCCATCAAGAGGTTCACCGTGAGGAACATGGTCGAGAGCGCCGCTGTCCGGGACATCAGCGAAGCCAGCGTTTACCAGGGTCCGTTTCCATTCTTTTCCGCCTTTTTATCGTCCGACTGAGTCTTTGCGCGCAGAATACGTTATCCCCAAGCTCTACAACAAAATCGCATACTGCGTCTCGTGCGCCATCCACGCACACAGTGCGTCCTCTCTTTCCCTTTTACCCCGAATCAAAACTGACGAATCTGGTGCAGTCGTCCGTGTGCGCTCGCGCGAGGGGCGGAGGAACCGTGCGCCGCCACCGCGCATTCGGTGGAAGGACGGGAAGAAGGTCAACCCCGCCGTCGCTGCCGCAGAGGACGCCAAGTTCGCTGCTGCTGCTGCGAACAAGGCATAGGGCTATTCTACGTTTCTTGTCCAGCGATAATTCAATCCGTTCCTGCACTCGTTCGCTTCTCGCAAGATCCTTCCACGTCCATTATCCCAAAGCCCCGAGTCTTGACAATATTTCGCCCGTCGCGTCCCCGTTTTCTCATTTGGGCAATATTGCTGCTGCACAGTTTCGTCGTGCCGTGTGATGGCCGGTCCCGGGTAGTTCCGGGTGGCGGTTGAAATGTTCAACTTGCACCAATCATGCCATCTAACGTTGCAACCAATGAATCAATTCACCCCAGACACCCATCTACCCATCTCATTAATTATGAGTGCAATTAGCACTGCAGCTATTACTGCCGTTCAGCATGAAGCGCAATTACTTCAATTCAGGCACAGTTCCTCGTTGATAGACGCTCTGGCGAATGACATACCTCTCACCTGCCTCGCTTATCTTCAAATTTCTCCAGATGAACACAAATTCAGAGTCTCCGTACATGTAAAGTTAAGATGGCCGGATGAACGAATTAGCTTGGTATCCCAACATTCATAGAATTCACTAACTGGGGGATGGTCTCGCGTCGGTGATTGTGCTTGCGCCAGCTTTTCAGTGCGGGCAGCATTCATAGCACAGCAAGTACTCGACGATAAGAAATATACCCGTGTGGTGAATTCGGTCGGTGCGGCGAACTTGGACTGACGAAGGGGTACAATCACTCGGAGTAAATCTGAGACCTGCATGGTATGAAGATTGTAAAATTATGGTCATTGAGGGCGGTGAAGAAAACGGGAGGAACGGCGGCCGCCGTTGAAATGAAATTTAAAGGGCGAGAAAGGCGTTGAGAATGGAGTATGCACCGAACCCGCACCGATACCATCAAGCCGGTACGCGAGAGGTGTAAGGACGGCGTTGGAGGTAGTTGAGGCCTTCCACAAATGGTTACCTCGTTGGTTGGTCTTGAGAAACGAATCCGTAACATCTGGCTGCAAATTTATGCTTGGCAGAGCTGGGATTAATACAAAAGAAAACATCGTACTAGCGTGAAGCTCAAACCCAAAAGAAGCGGATCCATCCAGTGAGCCACTCCATTGCGAGTCCCTACCGCACATCTAGTCATAATAAAAAATCCCAGCGCCCGACTCATGTAGCACCACCAATCCCCCGTTATGCCCCAGAAACACGTGTTGCGCGCGGTGCCCACCAACGTCAAGCTCAATGCCCCTCGCCGTACAGTCCTCCGGCTGGAAAACGTACACGCGATTTCCACTCGACGACTTGCCGTCGACGGCGTACCCGGCACGCGAGAAATACATGTTCATCGCCTCCACTTCGCCGATGAACGGCGACTGGACCAGCGTCGACACCGGGGTGCACGCGGATGTCCGGCCTTCAGAAAATTCCAGCCTTTGCGTCGAGATCGTCGTGATGTTATTCGGGACATGGGGGTCTTGATGCAAAGAGACCATGTCGAAACCCCGCAGCAGATAAGTGTGCCGGCGGAGGAGGCTCTCGACCAAGAAAACACGTTCTTTGCGATGGTGGGGGATGCCACGGCTGATGGGGGCACCACCTACCACGGGGAAGAGGGCAGTCGGGGTGAGCGCCAGTTCGTGCGTCATGTTCTGCGGGTTGAATTCCGATAGTGGTCGCCAGAGAGAAGAAATAGCGTAGACGCGAACTGAAATAGGGACCGGTTGTGGATTTATGACAACGATATGACCAGGGACGAGATGCAAGTTCAATACCTATAATATGTATTAGGGCGTGCGGACTGGCTCAGGGAACTTCAAACCGGGGTCGTTGGGCACTCCTCGATGGCAATATATTGGTATTGCTCAGTACGATGGTTCACCAAAAGCGGCAGCCATGTGTTATTCTTCCACGAGCAGTTGCAACACAGGTAATCACCTGCGATTTGCGTCTCGTAGATGTGCTTGCCGGAGAAACGGGTGATTTCACGGGAATGACCGGACTCAAGATTGACCTCCAGAATTAACACCTCCGAGTATGCTTGACTGCATGTATGACTGAGAACTGAGGGGAGAGATGAATATCGTGTAACATACCTCAGCCGGTATATATTCAGAGCTACGGTGAGCTTGGAGCCGGGACGCGTGTCGAACGCGAACTCTAGAATCCCAAAGTCTGGGCGATTCCAACTCCAGACAAATCGTCCGGTGGAAACGTTCCAGCATTCGAGACTCTCACTCACCTCAAACCATTTTGTGAGTCGGACCATTATATACCGTCCCCCAGGAAGTAATGACGCGTGAGCGACGCGGCTGACTTCTAGCGGAACCGTGAACTGTCGAATCAAGGTTGGCGTAGTTGACGAGCTGGACGACCACGTCCGTGGCCCAAGCACAGCGCGCTTGACTTCGGCCACGAGCTCGTCAGTCGATAGAGTGAAGACTTCGTCTGATGGAATATCGATCAATCCACGCAGAAACAGGTCTCTGATCAGGAAGACCCATAGTTGCTTC